GCAAGAAGATTGGATTCATGCAATCAATCGGGAGGACTGGTCTGACATGCTGACGGCGATCGTGTGTGTTGTAGACATTTTCAATCTATTAGCAGCAGTATTAGCTTGCATTGCAGAAGTGGCAGAAGGCAGAAGGAATTTTAATAAGGAATGACAACATTTCATAATGATAACTATGTGAGATTTCTATTTACCTGAAAAATCATATTCCCTAGTCTCTTGCTGCATTTTTTGTGCATTGTACAACAGCACAATGCGAAGGCATGCTTGAATTAATGAATAACGCAAGAAACACGATTCATATGTCAAAATATTGTGAAAAACTATTTCAACCTTTTGATTCCTCTGTAAACAAATAAAAAAGTGAGGTTGTGTTTCAATAATTCACAGAAGAGTGAGGTTGTGTTTCAATATTTTGCCTCCAGGGTCGGTCATCGTGCACGCGACCTATAACATAACCTAACCTCTCGAACCTCTCAACTAAAGTAAGGGGTACAAGAAGCTTGTGATACCTTGCAGGATCTTACTTGTATGTAGTTTATAGAGGAAATTAAGCCCCACTGACACTCGTTTTTTCTATACTAATATAAACAGGAAAGATTTGATTGTTTGTTTGTTTATATTTATTTAATAGGCTCCGAAACCACTGGATCGATTTGGCTGAAAATTGGTGGGGAGGTAGCTTAGAACCTGGAGAAAATTATTGGATACTTTTTATCCCGGTACCATTAGGAAATTCAAGATGGCGGATTTAATATATCGGACGAGTTTTGTAATTATGGTCGGATTCTACTCAAAATTGGTATCATGGGGTTTTCGGGGTCGGAGACTATGATTCATTCGTCAGAATTTGAAAATTCAGGCGGAATTTGTAAATTAAAGATGGCGGACGAGTTTTGTAATTATAATCCGATTCTATTCAAAATTGGTACCTGGGGGTTTTCGTGATCGTGGATTATGATTCCTTCGTCAAAATTAAAAAATTCAAGATGGCGGATCCAAAATGGCGGATTTTGTAATTAGGATCCGAGTTTATTCAAATAAGGTGTCAGGTGGTTCTCGGGGTCGGAGATTAAGATTCTTTCGTCAAAATCAGGAAATTCAAGATGGCGGACGAGTATTGTAAATATGATCCGACTCTCTTCAAAATTGTTATCTGGGTGTTTTCGGGGTCGGAGATTATGATTCTTTGGTGGAACCAATATACCGGACGATGTAATTATATACCGATTCCATTTAAAATTTGTAACTTGGCGTTTTCGGGATTAAACATGATTCCTTCGTCAAAATTAGGGAATTCAAGATGGTAGATCCAATATTGCTGACGAGTTTTGTAATTATGTTCCGATTCTATTCGAAATTTTCATCTGGGGTTTTAGGAGTCGGATATTATGATTCTTTCGTCAGAATTGGGAAATTCAAGTGAACTAAACTAAAAAGTTGAAATAAATGGTAGTTTGAAAAACTAAAAAACACGCTTTTATAGATAGTGAAACTGAAAAGAAGTAGAAAATAAAATAATCATAGTGTCTTGATGAATATTGAACTGAAAAAATATATTATAGAAATAATGTATATAGCAAAACAACGTTTGCGAGGTCTGCTGGTTTTGTATAAATCAGCTCATGTTTTATGTCGTGCTTGGTGGACGAATCGGGAGGCTTAAGATTCCTGATTGTTCGGACCAGGTCTAACTTGCTGAATTCGATCCAGCACTTAGACGAGTTTGTAACGCTCTACGAGCAGTCAGCAATCTGCAAGACATCTGACTTCGTCGTGAAATTACACGCAAGCTTTTTGACTGGGAAACATATTTAAAGGACCCCGCAAATTTTCAAGGTAATTTGGGTCCCGGTGGATTTTTCTCAATTTTTGGTATGATGTTGTTCATTTGATTCAATTACATATTGGCATTGCGCCAACCCCCAAAAATGAACAGTTTTTTTGCTAGGGGGGGTTGAATTCACATTTTAATCGAATTGATTATTTATTTCTGAGAGAATGAACAATATTCTAAATTTTTTTATTTCATCTAATTTCTCCTATGAATATATGCTTTTTGAAAAAAATATAGTGAGGGGGAATTATTACCCCTAACTCCCATTTTGAAAAACGAAAAAAAAAGAGAATTCGCCTAACCGTCAAAAGTGATAGAAAATGTTCCATTACCCAGAATTATGGAAACCGCCTTTTTGTATTATTGCCCCTCACCGAATGGGAGGCGCCCATGAAAAAAAAGTTCGGTGGATTTTGCTGAATTTTTGATATGATGTACTCTACCGGGTGTCCTATTTTAATCTTTATTTGGAAATTTCCCGAAATGTATGCATCTGACAAAAAAAATTGCCGAATGAAAGTTGTATGGTTTGGAGGGGGACGTCTGGTTATAAAACAAGTTTCACCCCCTGACCCCCAGGGGAGTGGGAAATGGAGGTAACATTGAAATCTTGAATGGAAGCCCCTATTTTTTATTGCTGATTCTGGAAGAGCATTAAAAACTGTGAAGCTTTTATTCGGGAACTTCTCTTTTATTTTCACAAGATGGCGCTGCGATCTTGAAAAACAATATTTTACTATTTAGTTTGTAGTTGGCCACCCAGATCACCCGACTTGACTTCCCCAGACTTCTTTCTGTGAGGTTACATCAAAAACATTGTGTTTCGCGAACCCCCAACCACACGCGAGAATATGAAAGATAGAATTAGAGGAGCGTGCATGGCTTTAACGCCTGCTATGTTGGAAGCGACAGTGCGGAATTTTGAAAAACGAGTGAACTTGTGTATTCAAGAAAATGGAGGTCATTTCGAACACTTGATAAAGTAGTCAATCTCACTTAAAACCAGCTTCAGTCTGACCTAAATGATAATTTAATTGCTGAACCATGCTTATTTTTCTCTTTTCTATGTAGAGGTGTCAAGGTGAGTGAGTTCGTTTAGCGTTAATTTGTCGTGTGAATATCACCCCAATGGCGTTTGTCTGGGAAAATATCACACCCTACACTCTTCCTCGTCTTCAGGGGGTTGAAATGTGTAAATAGTGAAATATAGTTTTTTACGATCGCAGCGCCATCTTGTGAAAATAAAAAAGAAGTTCCCGAATAAAAGCTTCATAGTTTTTAATGCTCTTCCAGAATCTGCAATAAAAAATAGGGGTTTCCATTAAAGATTTCAATGTTACCTCTATTTCTTACTCCCCTGGGGGTCAGGGGGTGAAACTTGTTTCATAACCAGACGTCCCCCTCCAAACCATACAACTTTTATTCGTCAATTTTTTTTGTCAGATGCATACATTTCGAGAAATTTCCAAATAAAGATTAAAATGGGACACCCGGTATATGACACTGACCAGAAAATAATTGGGTGGCAATCCTGAAAAATGGACAGTTTTCCTGCTACAGGGGGTTCAATTCACATTTTGACCGAATTGATTATTTATTTCTGAGAGAATGAACAATATTCTAGAATTTTTTATTTCATCTAATTTCTCCTATGAATATATGCTTTTTGAAAAAAATATAGTGATAAACTGTTCATTTTTGGGGGTTGGAGCAATGCCAATATGTAATTGAATCAAATGAACTACATCATACCAAAAATTGAGAAAAATCCACCGGGACCCAAATTACCTTGAAAATTTGCGGGGTCCTAAGTTTATTTGGTATTGTTATGATATAATCCATTATCCATCGCTGATTTACTTGACATTGAGTGTTCACGCCTTACACTACTGGTGAGCCAACATATTCCCCCAGTTTATAGGTTATATTTATTTATTTATTTATTCATTTGGAAACCTAACAGAAATTACAATGAATTCCCAGTTATAGGGTTACCCTAATCAACAAAAATAATCAACATCGTAAATGTTTGTTGATACAAATGGTTGCGTACTAAGGAAAAAAAGGAATAATTTCAATCATATACAAAGTAAAGTAGAAATGAAATTCACAGATGGTTTTATGATTAACAAAAAATTCGTTCAATAGAAGAAGAAAAAAAAATCGTTCACTAAATACAAATAGATAACTATCATACTATAATATATGTACTGCGTATCAATGAAAAATCATCTAATTTTTGTTAAACAAGTCCTTCTCACACATGATAAGGATAAGTGGAATATGTCGACATCAGGAAATTCATTATTATATGTTTGGATCATTCTATTTATTGGAGAGTTCAAACAATAATTCGTTCTAGTGGTGCTCATGAAAAATAGCCGTGTATTCTGTGAGCACCTCTGAACATGAAGGCATTTTCTTGAGTTAATGTAATTGTAAGGTTTTGCACAACTTTCTTGAACTGTTAATTAAACGTAGTTGCTAGATGTCAGAGTACATCTGAAAATAACAGAAATCTTCTGAACACAGACATTCATAAAGTACTTTCAATTACTTTCCTAATACGCCGGCCTATCGAAATTTGGGAGAATCGAAATGTTGGCGAATCGAAATGTGGGAGAATCGAAATATGGGCCCAACGACATATTCGACGGTGATGAAATATTCTATTGAATTCGAGAAAATAGTGGAGCCTATCTGGAAGTATATTATGTAGGTTATAATTGAGAGTTTTCATTGCTGACATCAAGTATAAACAAACACCTCTGAGGTCTGACTATCGATGCACTATAAGTGTTATACCAGTGGATATCTGACTGCCTATGCCCGAGAGAAACACGAATTGAATACCCTACAATTTCATAGAACGTTCAATCATAGCTTTCGGCGGAGAAATAAGGTAAATAGAGTAATTTGGCCTAATCATAAGTTCAATCACTGCATAAAATGAATAACTTCTGATACTCGAAATATTTTATCCCCAGATGTTTGAGCTTACAAAAGAGAATTACATTTCTAGGCAAGAATTTCTTGAAGATACAGTGTTTTTTTTTTTCAATTTACTGAGAGGTCAACTTTTAGGACTCATGAGGTTTTTCCCATTAACATCTCAATTTGTACTAGTGAAAAATCTAATGATTTTTCTATTTATTTTTTTCAGATAAATTCTAGAAGACACCGTAGTAGGCACAAAGCCACAAGACACAAATCAAGCAGACACTTTAGAAGTCACTCAAGAAATCTGAGTCATACTTCAAGGCGTTTGTCAAAAACAGAGTCCAGACAAGGTAGCACAACTAGCATAGATTCACATCTGCAACTTATAAACGCCTTAACGAACAGAAGCAACAGTCATTCATTCCAACCAAATTTAAATCGACGTACTGCCAACGCTGGCCTAGACGGACAAAATCTCACAGATTTTCTGACAAGTGGAAAGTTAGTGATCCCATACAGCAGAAATAATTACAGGAGCGAAAGTGAAGATGAAAATGTGTCAGTGACTATATCGGAAAGTACATTCAACATGAAACTCAGCAATCATACGAATAATTTGGATCTCAATGATGAATTAGTGATGAAATCTCTGTGCCAAGGCGTGCACATAGAAGAGCTGAGCTCATCAACGGAATCTGAGGCTTCCGTTCTGCCCAAAAAGGACCTAGGCACCGAAAAACGATCTAGGTCAGGACGAGAGTCTCATTCCAGCAAGAAATCCAAACGATCCCGGCTATCTCGAAAGAAATATAGCAGTAATTCAGAGAGCTGCAACAATAAAAGCGACAGTTCTTCTTGCAACGAAATCAACCAACTCGTGCAAAGTTCTTTGAATTCGGCGAATTCGGCTGGTTACGAGAAAAACAGAGGGTCGAGGCAGTCGAAGACGTCCATTGATGTGGCTGTGCAAGCCAACGCACATGACATCGTGTCCCAAACGGCAGCTTATGACTTGGAACTCAAGACTTTGAAGAAGACTGAAGAAGATAAACACAAGACTAAGCAGACTAAAACGAGGGAAAATAATAGATACCGGAAGGCTAGCAAGCAATATGAAAGTGAGGCCAGTAGAAAGTTGAGGAAATCGAAAGAGAAGTATAGAAGTTATGGAAGTTCAGAGGAGAGAAAATCTCTGAACGGGGATTCAGAAGAGGAAATATTGGTAAAAGACAAATCTAAAATAAACATAAAGAAATCGAGAGAAGCAGCTACAGGAACATGACACCATCAGACTGATTTTAATTTTAAAGTTTCATTTAGTTGTAGTTTTTTATACATGTTTTATCTACTTTTGTTTTCAAATGTAGAATAAAGAGATGTTTTCTCTAACAATATGATCTCATGAAAAATGTAATTTGCACAAAACACCAACTTGATATTATAGGAAAAGAAAAATATGAACCTATTTTTTTACAACTCAGTATTCTACAGCATTATCAGAAATAGTTATTCATTATACAAGGGAAAAAAGTAGTAGATTTTAGCGCCAGTTTGTGTTGTCTCTGAGGGAGACAAAAAACTGTGAGCTTAAATCTAATATTTTTCCCGTGTATAATGCACTATTTTTTCTGTGACAGGAAAAATGTCGAATCTATATTGAGAAGATATTACATTATATTGAAATCAGAAAATTATCTTAGTGAAATTTGAAGTTTTTAACAGTGATCGACACCTGCGTTGCAGGCATCTTCATAATTTTTTTGAAGTAATCAAACATCTGTCAGTCTTATTCTGTGATTTGATTTCAATAAATTGAGAATTTTGTACGTGGTGACGCAATAAAAATGAATAGTAAAAGAAAACAATATATATATATACCGGGTGGCTACGGAAGTATTTCCTACGGAATATTTCAGTTATTGTATGAAGTAGGTTTGTGAAATTTGGAGCGTCGATAAAATGACATAAGAGCTAGAATTTGAGCATATTGACATGTCGAAGTTAACTTCCGGTCTGACCGGAAGTAACATCAACTTTCTTATTTTAAATGGAAACCCTATTTTTTTTTCTTTTCGCATTATTCAGCATTCGATTCCCTTTCTAATGACATATCACAAGTTGGTATCTAACCAGAAACTAGATCAGAAAAAAATTATTATTGAAATTCACCGAGTAGGCCGTGGAAGCAAAATGAAAGCCAAAAAATGAAAAGTTGGCTATGGAAACCATACGTCACTTGATAACAGTTGCTACTACTGTGATATTTCATTTTCATCCGTCGGCGTTATAAAAAGCCGCCAAAAAAAATATTGGAAAAATTGGGAAAAAAGCAATACTTTGTAGGTCCATAACTTGAATAGGAACATACAACTTTTTCTTGCCTGTACTATTCAGCATAACCATTCCTTTCTAATGATATAATAGAAAGTCATTTTTTGGCATTCATTTTGCTTCCACGGCTTCCAGGGTTTCCATTTGAAATAAGAAAGTTGATGTTACTTCCGGTCAGACCGGAAGTTAACTTCGACATGTCAATACGCTCAAATTCTAGCTCTTATGTCATTATATCGACGCTCCAAATTTCAAAAACCTACTTCATACAATAACTGAGATATTCCGTAGGCAATACTTCCGTAGCCACCCGGTATATATAAATAGAATTCAGTACTTAACCTAACTTAACTAAATTTTTGCAATTGTTTTTGGATGAACTATAAGAGCATGAATCACTAGCCCATTTATGATAAATGCTTTTTATGCTAAGCGAACATGAAATAGTCTATTGAACTAGTACGGGTTAGTACCTCGAAATAATGAAATAACATTTTTCACTGAAACAGGCCCATTTCACATAATGGCATAAATAATTTTGTTATTTAAATATACCGTAATATTTTTCCAATATTAACTCGTTTTTCTGGTCACAGAGAAAAAACTGGTATTATACAGAGGTTTTTTGACTCCTTCCACTTTGCGTCCGGAGACAACACAACCTGGACACAGATCAGTACAAACCTTGCTGAGATCTAATACTTTTTCTGCAACCGACACAAAATATACAGAGTGACCAGTGACCCATTTGAAAGCGGGCCACCCCTGTATCTTACGTAATAGTTGGGTAAGGATCCTGAAATTTGCTGGAGCGAGAGATATACCAAAGTTGCACTCTATGACCAAGTGGGGTCATCTTCAGTGATATACACTGCTCGCCAACAGCCATGGAACCACCCCAATTTCCGGAAATTGATATTAGGAGTCAAAATAGGTTGAAAATCACTTCGGAATCGGAATCAGGACGCCCAATTCACTAACTCTTCATACTTTTCCTTGAAAATTTTCAGTTCTGGAAAATTAAATTTTGTCGCACTTTTCACGGAAGCACCCCCGTATCTCACGTAATTGACTTTATCTTTGAACTTTCCGTTCCTCCTGCAAATTTTAGAACCCTACCTCAATAATTACGTGAGATACGGGGGTGCTTCCATGAAAAGTGCGACAAAATTTAATGTTTCAGAACTGAAAATTTTCAAGGAAAAATATGAATAGTTAGTGAATTGGGCGTCCTAATTCCGAATCCGAAGTGATTTTCAACCTATTTTGACTCCTAATATCATTTTCAGGAAATTGGGGTGGTTCCATGGCTGTTGGCGAGCAGTGTATATCACTGAAGATGACCCCACTTGGTTATAGAGTGCATTTTTGGTATATATCTCGCTCCAGCAAATTTCATGATCCTTACCCAACGATTACGTGAGATACAGGGGTGGCCCGCTTTCAAATGGGTCACTCTGTATATAAAATACACAATACAAAATATACCAAAATTTTAGCTCTTGAATTGACGTTTCTATTACTGACACGAACATAGGTATGTTGCTAGGCAACACTTTTAGTTCTTAAAAGCTAAAGTTGCACTTGAGCTCCTAATAGAGGTCATCAGGAATAAAGAACATTGTTACGGTTAGTTATTTGGGTTGGGACGCATACCTGATTTGTTTCCGATTCCCACAGATTTGGCATTTAATACCCATGCTGGAGATATAAATACACCATATCCAGGCAGCACAAAGATGTCCTGAAGCTATCTTGAAGATATCTTTCTAGGAAATCGTGATGCTTTTTGTAACTTCTTTGAGAGATCGCCGAGAGCGCTATATTTTCTCCAAATGTCCGCAACCTAGGCTGAGCTCAGCGAGGTCTCAAAGATATCCCACGCAGAAATTTTCATACAATGCCATCAGGCGAGCACTTTGAGATATACGCATCGATCGCCACTGGCGAGAACTGAAAGTGCTCGCAATTATGAGCTGTTTGAGGAATTCGCATACATAGCTTTGTGACGAGGACATTGGGAAATTCGCATCAATTGCTTCTGGCGAGGTCTTTAAGTGCTCGCGACTACCAGCTGTTTGAGATATTCGCACGCATAGCCTTGTGAAGAGGACTTTGGGAAATTCGCACCAATTACAAATAGCGAACTCTTCAAGTGCTGAATTGTTCAAGAATCCGTGCTCATCGCCTTTTAACTAGTTTTAACGAGGACTTCAAGAGCGATATTCGCATCAATCGCCACATGATCGCCACTAATATGGTATGGTGTTCAATTTTTGGGAAGTCATTGGTTATCAGCAGTCGCCTGTCGGCGAAGTCTAACTAGCGCCATCAGCTATATTGTTCGGGGTTGAAGTTGAATTTACTCGATATTTGTTTCAGCGCCGAAGATGAAGTTACCAAACTTTTAGAATCAACGTAATGAGCTCCAATTATATATTATTCTATAGCAAGACATATTGATCAAGTAAACTTTTTCACTTGAAAACATCTTTGAGGAGCTGACCGGATATTCATTAAGAAACAAAAGGTCGTCTGATATTTTCCCACGAATTTGAAGTAGATATTTGGTTCTCGATCCCACCTGAATTAAAACATCTCTGTCTATTTCGTCAGAGCAGATAATTATCATCAATTTACTGCAAAATTTGAAATAATCTTCCATGATGGCGGGGAGATAATAATATATCCTGTTGAACAAATTCTCTGAGACAGCAAGAAGATGAAGTATCTAGTATACAATTATTATCATCATAGATTAATGACTCCCATTTCATGTTAATACTGGGTGTCCCAAGTTATCGTATAGGGACCGGCAAAAACTCGCTTAGTCGACAAGATGATGAAAAAATAGTAAAAATGCTTCAAATGACATCAAAGTACATTCTTTATGACTTAAAAATTATGTATTGAATTGAACAGCCCACTGGTAGAGCTACCCCTCAATTTTCATTGAATGGACTACCTGTATATTGTCATTGAAAATTGCCTATCATCCTATTTTGGAAAAGAACGATAGCACATCGGTACTTTGTATTGTGTTCATTGATAACAAAAACAATACAATTTTTTGACCTTATTTACGTTACATCGATTGAAAATTGCCTCCTCCCATGTTTGTAAAAATTTCTCACAATAAAAGTAGATTAATTATTACACTAGGTAGGTACCGTCAGCAATGATTGATGTTCTGGACTTCAGAATATCTGTCATTAATTTTTTGAAACAAAAAATGAATCCATATAGGTAGGTACTTCTTATCTTTGAACTTTTTGGACACATGGGTGAAAGCAATTTTTCATTTAAGTAACGTAAAAATGTCACAAAATGTTCATGTTTCTGTTGTTATCAATGAACAAAACACCAAGTATGTGCTATATCGTTATTGTATTCCAAATAGATTGAGACGCTATTTTCAGAGACAATATGCTATTTGGAAATAAAAACTGATTAGTGTCTACCTCGGTATCTACCATCAGGGGGCTGCCAAATATATCACATTCTTCATAAGCCATATTAGGAAGGTTATTAAATGCCATTTAATGCAGTTGTTTAATGTTTTTGATATCTTGACAAATAGGCGAGATATTGCCTGTATACGATAACTTGGGACACCCAGTATTTGAATAATAAAGGCTATTGAAAAAGACAACTGGATATTTTTGTAGGAATATTCATTAATTATTCAGGTTATGTTTGTGATTACTCTAGGAGCTCGCAATGGGATATGCTCGATCTTGTTACGTCCAGGATATCCTTGCATGGGTGCTCGCAGAAAGAAATGCATATTCATTTCCTGTTATAGATAACCTCAAGGACTCGCAATAATGAGGATTATTTCAAATCTGAGGCGAGATCTCCGCGATTTCTTTCGGACGACTTCAGAGAGTAGTTCCCATGGTGACAGCCTATACTGATCTTTGGCACCTCGCAGGAGGATTTCGCATTTTGATCCTGAAGATAACTACTTAAAGATATCGTGGAAAGTTCCGTGTTACCTGGGTTATAGTTAAGTATTTTTGTTTTGATCAAGAAAGCCTTCAAGATTCACATACT